CAGCTGCTGCTCCCCAATGAGATACAGTAATAAAACTGGGAAAATATATTCCATACCATCATTACTACAAGTTTCATTAGTCAACAATTAATCAATAATTTATACATAGATATAAATAATCAAATGTTAGAGAAACAGTCATGTTACAGATCTCCCTTACATTTCACTTTCCTTTCCCACTGAAGTAAACATGAAAGAAAGATGCATGTCTAATAACTAGATATTGCAACAAAAGCAAAATTAGTTTGAAACATCAGAACAGCAAGGACGCTGACCCCCACTGAAGAATTTACAGAGGGTGTTCTGACAAACTGCTGCAAACATGTAAATGTGCTACTAATTTTCTGTCTACAAAGACAATGATTTTATCCATTAATTTGGTAGGCTGTCTGAGAAACAGAAAGTAGATTATCACAATCTGCATTTGCATTTTTTCAGCAACTAATTGGGACATAATGGGTATTCAAAGGTCAGTATGGTCATCAGTAAATTACTAAGATGATTGTTTCTGTCTTCCCTTAAAATGTCCTTTTGCTTTTAAATGACTATTTTTTTTTCTGAGAACACCATACTAATAAAATGAATCACATCATGCATTAATTTTCCTTTCAGTTAAACCACACCTAATGCTCATGTTAAAGTGAGGTAACTAACATTCAGTATGGATTTTTGAACATAGATCTTTTTAACATTTATATTTTAGTATATTTTATTAATCTAGGTGAAATAATATATATTTCTACTGTAGTCCATGTGTGATATGCCTTCTGCTAAATAAATAATAAATCCAACATGAACTATACAAAAAAAAAGAGAATTACAAGTTGCCCTCACTTAACTATGGTAACTGGACTGGCAAACTCTGTCACTACGTGACATGATCATAAAGCACAACATCATGTGACCGCCCTGACTTATGGTAGCAGTTGCGGCAGTCCCAGTTGTTGTCCTTAGATGAATCTGCCCTGTGATGAGCAAAAAATACCTTCACTAGATGTCTACCTCAGCCACATTCTCAAGATTTTAAATACCAGGTAGTCCTCAACTTACAACAGTTCATTCAGTGACCATTCAAAGTTAAACCGGCACTGGAAAAAGTAACTTATGACCATTTTTCAGTTACAACCTTTGAAGCATCCCCATGATCATGTGATCAAAATTCAGATGCTTGGCAACTGGTTCTTTCTTAAGACTGTTGCTGTGTTCCAAGGTCATGTGATCAGCTTTTGCAACCTTTGGACAAGCAAATTCAATAGAGAAGCAAGATTCACTTAACAACTGGGTTACTAACTTATCAACTTAACAGCTGTTAACAAGAAAGTTCGCAAAATGGGGAAAAACTCACTTAACAAATGTCTCACTTAACAACAGAAATTTTGGGCTCAATATTTGTAATCCACATATCCAACACCTAACACAGACACCATCTTCCTCAAAATGTAGCTATTAGGGTTGCGCACTGTTTTATATTTGAAGGCAAAAAGATATTTAGGGGTATGCAAAATATCTTATACAGCTCCATCCATAACTTGATAAAATAAGTCATTTAATGGCATCACATAACTGCTCACTGCAGCTGACAAGCAAATCTAAAAAATAAATATTTCTTTAAGAATTGCAGACAGATATTATGTGTCCCATACATTACAAAGTAGATTTGCCTTCATCTAAACATGTAGTCCTCGGCTTACAACTACAATTGAGCCTAAAGAAGACTGAAGTTTTAAAATGTATTTTTTTTCTTGCCTTAAGGATTTTTTTTAAATAAACCAGAAAAGAGAAGACAAAAATCTGGTTGTTATATCACATACTACTGAAAGTTTTGCACGAATGAGCTGGGAACATGCTTTGCCTAAAACTAATTGAATTGTTTTATCTCTGAATGCAACACTACTTAGGGTCATTTCCATTTTTATTCAGTCAGTTTTTATCAGCTTTCCAGTGAAATGCTAACCATTTTTCAACCTTAAGTCAAAACATTTATTTATTTGTAGCTCACTTTCATTATTTTTACAAATAACTCAACGTCGCAAACATATCTAACACACCTCTCTCTTTCTATTTTCCCCACAACAATAACCCTGTGAAGTGGGTTGGGCCGAGAGAGAGGGTCTGGCCCAAAACTACCCAGCTGGCTTTCATGGCTAAGGCGAGACTCGAATTCAGAGCCTGCTTTCTATCCTGTTGCCTTAACCATTAGATATTTTCCCATTTCAATCCAATTATCTATAAAACTTTTGCTCTTTCCTTACTTTTCTACAAATTACCATTTTTCATGTAAAAATACAATAACTGTGCACTGCCTAAAATTGAACTCATGAAACTCCTAATGGAAAAAGGTAAGATAGAAGTGCTAAAAATGGTAAAGTTCAGGCTTTCCAGTTTGTGAAAAATCTTTTCATTTTATGATTTTAGATAACTTAATGACACTGCTGTTTCAGATTAAACTTACTATGCATTTTAATTTTTAATGTTTCAATGTTTGTACTATTGTAACTGCTCTTATTTTTCTAAATTTTGTTCACTGCCCAAAGTCATTTGGTGAGATGGGTTAGCCATGTAAAACAAATACATAAATAAATAAATAAAGTTGAGGTTATTTTACCAAACTAAATTGTCTCAAGTTCTCCCAAATACTCCACAAATAAAAATCGGTATGACATTTAAAATAAAAGAACAAAGCATATCCTATAGAAATTATGATGTTTTCCCTAGTTAAAATGAATGTTTCTTTATTAAAACATTAAATTGTATTTCTTTCCATAATAATAGTTTTCAGCTTAATCTCTGTTCAAACATGGTACCATTTAGTGACATTCATCCCCAACAAGCCACTTCAAGGTAAATTTGGAAACTCTGGATTATGTCACTCAATGTGGAAGATTCAAAATCAAGATGAGAGGTAGTTCTTAACCTACAACTATAATTGAGCCAAGAATTATGCTCATCAGTCATGCTGGTCATTAAGCAGGTCACCATGTAACTACACTCAATTTTATGAGCTTTTTTACAGTGGCCATTAAGAAACGTGGCAGTTGTGAAGCAAACTCATTGTTTGCAATGTCTGTTTTTTGCCGGAAACCACCAGTAAATGCTGGTTTCCAGCAAAAAACCCCATCATAAATCATGGTCATGTAACTGCATGGATGGTGCAAATGGCCATAAATGAGAAGCTGGTTTCCGAGTACCTAGTGCATTCGTGTGACTGGGGGGAATTAATCATCAGAACTTTAATCCGGATTGTAAGTAGTTTAGGGGAGGGGGTCTGTTCTAACTTTGAATTATTACTAAGCGATTGGTAATAAGTCGACACCTTATTATATATGCACACACACAGAAGACATGGCAGCAGTGACCACATGAATTGCCTATTAGTTTAATCCAGTGTTTCTTAACCTCAGCAACTTTAAGATATCTGGACTTCAAATTCCAGAATTTCCCAGGCAGCATGCATACTATACAAACTCTGAGAAACACTGGTTTAATTAATTTGAAATCTTTCAGCATTTAAGCAAATAGCTAAATGGTGCTCAGAATGGATTTGTAACTCTCAATCATACGAAGAAATTATTTCAGCAATGTATAATGTTTAGCATTGGAAAGCTCAATAGCTACGAAGGAACACACTGTATTTAGGTCTTACTTAATACAAATGGAGAAAAGTTTTGTCTAAAATCAAAACAAAATAAAGCATATTTTGTTATTCTCATAGGTGCCAAAATGACAAATGAGACCTTGAATCTATGGTGTGGAGCTTACTGTTGTCGTTCTTCCAGGACTTCTTCCCTCTTTTTCCCACAGCAACATATCTGTAGTTGCTCTTCCTTTTCTTCCTTCAGTTACAGCACATATGTCGCTTGCATTCAGTTGCATACACGGCTTTTCATGGCAGCTGATTGAGCTAGTGATGAACCCTACTTTTGTCAAATGGCTCCCGCCAGCTTCAGTGCAAGTCTTTCGCAACCAATGGCCTCCTGATCACACTGCTGAATACTCATGCTGCTCACAGGCCACTCATAATGACTGCACCGCTTTTGTGTAGAACTTTTTCTTCAAGGATTAAAAAAAAAAGAAGAAGAGCACAACTCATCCCTATATCCCCACAAACCTTGAAGGATATGTGGGTTTTGCAGGGATCTTTTGCAGTGCCGCAGGCTGCTTATACTTCACTCTGCTGTGAGTAATTAAAAAGAAACACTAACATGCAGTGATACAACTGAGAGGCTCCTCAATCGAGACTATGAAAGAACTGTGTCTAATGGAGAAAACAGCATGAGTCACATCATGCAAATGGAACAACTCTCTGCTTTTCCAGATCAGCAAGCAGTTTTGAAGACCAGCAGCTATGAGAAAGCCTCATAGAGCCTCCCAATTGAGCTGACCCAATGACATCCAGTACAAGCATGCAAGAAGAAGGTGAAGGCAGTACAAATATATTGCAGCACTAACTTTTATAAAGCCCACCCACACAAAAGCCTATCATTTTTGTGAATGTAAAGAAAAAAAGAAAGGAAAAACCACAGATGCAAGACAATCTTTATGCATATACTTAGAAGTGGTTCTCAAAAGCTTCCTGTGTTAATTTACTTATTAAGTTTGAATCTCAAAGACAGATATAAATTTTGCAAAACCTTTTACTCTGGAATATCAATGGGATTTGTGTTGGTTTTTCACAATCAACACTTACTACTGCAGAATTCTTTAAAGAAACAAAATAAAAAAAATTGCATTCATTCTATTTTGGGCCCTTATATCACCCACATAAACATAATAAAGAGAAACAGCATTCCTTGTAGAATTAATTCCTATTTTCCTGCAGCTCAAAGCTGCAGCTATCAACACAGTGATGAACCTTAGAGATACTTTGACAGATAGATATAGAACAGCAGGTGTACTTTTGCCTTGTCAGGCCATTTCGCATGGAGACAATGTCAGCTTGGCAAAGTAACAAGTATCTTTACATATTCTGGAAAGAATAAAAATGTTAATGTAACACTTACGATCAAGCCCGTTGACATATCTCATTGTAATTTCACAGTGCCCCCATACCGCACTGACTATGGGATACAGTTTTTTCCCTTTTAAGCCCCTGAAGGCCACTCCAAGATACTGTCCATCCACGATGAAGCTAAGGGTTCCTTCATCCATATCCAAAACCACCAATAAGGAGTCTGGAAGTACAAAAGACTCATCTGGTTCCAAAAACACAGGATAGGTCACTCCAGGCTGGTTTTTGCAATTGTGGTAAAGTTTGTTCCGTCCAAGGTCCCAGCCCCATGATTCACTATTGCTACCAACCAATGATGTATATCCTACAGAATGCAAAGGGGCTTCTGCTGTTGAGATCCCAACTACTGCATGTGTTCCTCGTTGCCTTATGGGCCAGTGAATCTGCCAAACATGGAGTCCCCTTGTGTAGCCAACTTTTCCCCTGATGCAATCTGTGCTTTGGGCAACCGGGTGTCTATGAAAGGTTAGTCTGTCGTCTTCCTTCACAAATATATTTAAGGATCGATCTTCGTTGTTCCAAGCATGTTTGTATTGGATCTCCAAGTGGGCTGGGGGCATATCTAGCAACATATCCAATCGTGCAGGCTTGCAGAAATCTGGTCCCCTCAGTTCTCGTTTAACTGGTCTATATGGGGGATCCCGAACATCCACAGACTTTATGCTCCCTGAGATTTTTTGGCCCATCGCTCAGCTGCAGTTTGCTTGGTTGCAGGGAGTGAAGGGTAGATGTGGGCCCAGTGTCAAGTCATGAAAGCACTTTCAAGCTGAGCCAATGACTCACTATGCACCAACTTGATTTACTCCTTTCTGGACTCTTTCAGAGCCAATGTTTTCTGAAAACACACTTCTGAAATAAAGCAGAAAGTCACCAGTTAAAAAGTAGCCAAATTATAAACCACATAATTATTCTTTCAAAAGAAAAACAGAAAGGAAAACAAGAGAAGGGGGATTTGTGCCAAGTTGCTTTAAAATTAAGACTTAACTATTCTCAGCTTCATGGCCTTTGTACTTCAGTGCTCGTTACCCAGACTGTCAGCTGGATATATTGAGTCTACAGTTTAAGAGCACAGACAGTCATTTCCTTTTTTCCACAACAGACATTCCACACCTTTTGCCCTTCCACCCAGAGTCTAGTCAAGAGGGATGTGACACTGTACAAACAGCTTGCCCCTATTATCAGGTATTTTCATTTCTAATTCTTTATTCTACCTTAAAGACATTCTTTATGCAAACATTCACTTTTACCTCTTTCTCTTATTAAATCTACCTTTTATTCCAAGGAGATGCAGACAAGCATGTTCATACGAGAGGAAAAAAAAGATGAAACCACCGTGTTTCCTATAAAAATACGTAAAGCTTAACATCTTAACAATTAATATAGCTTTCGAAAGAGAGGTGGGGGTATAGAAATTTATGTAGGTGTTTTTTGATTAGCAAGTCCTATGAACTGTTTTGTTTTAAAATTAGAAGCAAAGCTATTAAGAAGTATTGTTGCTATATTGAACAACTTATTCCATTATATCACATTGGACCCCAACATTACATAGGTTTGGTATAATTCCCTTATCACAGAACTTTCTCCTTAATGTTCAAGCTTTTTAATCATATTACTATAAAAGAAGCATACAATTTCATAACTATATTCTATACAAAGAATAATGTATCATGATTTGTATGGAAGAGCTGTTCTGCAAGTAAAAAAATACTTTGATTAGAGCTACAAAATACACTATTCAGATGAACGTTTCTAGACTCCAGATAATATATATTGAATTATGATGTTAATTGGAACTGGAATTTCCATCACTAAACAATGCTGTTGTTAGACAAAACATCACACATTCACATTGCTTAGCAATGGCAATTCCAAAACTCCGCTTTGCTGTTATTAACTGAATCCTGCCAGTAGTTCAGTGAGGACTCAGCCCAAGCTAGGTCATTTTTTGCTTTGTTTCTTTCAGCCCCAAACTTCAGTATGATAAGGGATCTCACCACCACCGCCTATCTCCTCCCCATCTTTGTCCATTGGTTGCCCTTCACAGTGGTATTCTTCAGCGCAGTGGTGGCACAGTTAGCATGTTCTGTTCTTGTGATGCTTTGGAAGGCCTCAGAACCTTTTTGAAAGCTTTCCAAACATCCTGAGAATGGAGCATAGTATTTGCTGAATGGAAGGTGCACCATTCTTGTATTGTTTCAGAAGGTCTTAGTTATGTAGGCCAGAGGTCTCCAACCTTTTGAGCACTAGGAACCGGTTTCATGGAGAGAGGTTTTTCTGCGGACCGGAGGGGGCATGGTATCATGTACTGCCTGCATCCCCCGGATGGGGCTTTGTTTGCGTGGCCCGATTTCTGGCATGCTTCGGCCCGGTGCTGGTCCACAGATCAGGGATTGGGGACCCCTGATGTAAGGTATCCAAAAAGAGCAGAGATGGCGGGAGAGCTAGGTGGGTTCGTGGGAATTGAAGGCCTTTGCATTTATAAGTGCAGGCAGGCTCTCAAGTTTACAAATTTTGATCACGCAACTATGGAGATGCTGCATGCTAGTGCTCAGGAACTACCGGTAAGTTTATGTACCATTCATTCAGTGCCTCCATAACTTCAAACACTCAATGATAAATGGTCATAACTCAAGGATTACCTGTACAATAACAGTAAAACAAATTTATTTCACAAATCTGAGTTTCATATTCAGTTCTATTATGCCTTCCTACTCATATTGTCTTATTAAGGCTATTTAATTACATAATTCAATTATATATTACATTGTGAGTAAACATTCTCACAAATTATGGTTGGCACCTCCTAACTGACCTATTTTTTTTAAAAAAAAAATTAACCATGGTCTTCTCTAAAATTCTCTGAGCTTGATTTTGAATTGCAAACATTTCATTACCATACTAGATACTATCATCAATAAAGATGTGGAACAGTAAAGTTTGATGGCTAGCAAATGTTATGTATGTATATTTACGCTAGGTTATTTGTAAAACTACCTTTTCCCCGTTATTTCTGCTTTATCCACAAGAACTAGCAGAGAGGGCGTGTACTGGATCCCATTATTAAACAGTCAGACTGTTGGAACCAAGAGTTGTGCCTTTTATGTGGCAGCACCTGCCTTGTGGAACAACACCTTTCCCCCCACCTCCAAGATCCAGATGGTATCAACTGTGTAAACTTGATTATCTCCCAGGTATTTGAGCCAGGAAGTTAGGCAAGCTCTGTTATTTATGTGATTTTAGGATTAAAAGGTATCATTTGTGAGCATCGTGAGCTTTTTAACTGTTTTGCATTTAATTTTTGTACAGCACTCAAAATCACTGTTGTAAAATGGGTACATTTGATGGTTGTAGTTTCCCAGGATCATGTGATCATCCTCTGTGACCTTCCCAGCTGACTTCAGAGAAGCGAAGTTAATGAGGGAAGCCAGATTCACTGAACACCATGTGATTCATTAACAACTGCAGTGATATAACAACCTTGACAAAAAAAGGCTGTAAAATTGGGTACAATTCACTCAACAATCAGCTTGCTTAGTCACAGAAATTCTGATCCCAATTCTGGTTGCAAATCCATCAACCTGTAAAGTTGTGTTATGAAAGTAAACGTTATTTGGAACTAGTATTTGGATGGCGACCTCTAAAAAAGCCCAGGGCTAGAGCTTTGAAAAATTTAAAAAGAAATAAAACCATCATGGACGAGTGCAGTTGAAAATCATTTCTGTATAGTTGCCAAGAAAACATGTAGTGATCAGTAGCTGAAATCAGCTCAAGGGAGTCTTTATCTTTCTATAAGACTGGAAGCTTACAAAATGGAATAAATATTTTATTCCATAAAAGATGATGGATTTTATTCGATAGAAGATTATACTGTACATTGTAGCAAATACCATCTGGCTAAGAACCTCTGAACAATATTATATAATATATGTTTAAAGTTGTCATAGTGTATTAGGCTAATCTCAAATGAAGCATGGTTTAATCTTACAATCAATATCTCAAGATAATTTGCCTTGCTAAAGAAAGTTGGTAAATGAAAAGAGATAATTGTTAATTATCCTGTCTTTAGTCACCACTGATGGTTCAAATTGTATGCCTTAAATAGGCTATTTTTAAAACTGAGTCCAAATCCTTATATATTCTCGGTCAACTTATTTGGTTGTTATGGTCAAGGATGGTAGTAACTGAGATTCAAGATATCTAGATAATGTTATACAAAATGAGGTAATTTAAGATTGTTTTCCAAAAACCTAAGAAAATGTGTTTAGTGATTGTGAGGCGAGCAGCATCTACTGTATTTTTTTGCCCTCTCTACTCTCAGAGACTGCCTGGACAAGTTCCTGCAGTTTTGTTGACAAGTTTTTCAGAAGTGGTTTGCCACTGTCTCCTTCCTAGAGCAATATCTGCAGCTGAGATCATGAATTCCCCTACATTACATGACAAATTGCTATTTTTAAGATTTCACATCTGTCCTGTGGGAAAGGTCACTAATTAAGTCATATCAGAAGGCCTATATCTCTGCTAAAATGTTCTCTAATATTTTTTGCTTAGCTCTTAATAATTTGCTGGAAGAAAAAAAATAAGGAGTAAAAATATTTTTGTGGTTTCACATGTATACCCTACATAATGGAAAAAATGCTCAGGATAGCAGCTCTGTTTGCCCATAGCAGAGAGAAATCTAAATTGAAGCAGGAAAAAGAGTGTTAGTTTTATTACCCAGTGTTTTTCATGGAACTGCAAAGATATTTAATAGGGCATTATTGTCAGTGCCAATTATGAAACCTTGCAAAAATTAAGTTGGGCAGTCAGAATTCCACTATTGAAAAATCACCTGTATCACAATGTATTCAGACAGAATACATTGAAAGCAAGTGAGATTATCATGTTTAATTGTGAAGAAAGATCTAACTATGAAAATAGTGACAAAACTAAAGAGTATCATGGTGAATCCATATTAAACCTGAGTCAATAATATAGTTCTGTCCTCATCTGCATAGTTGTCCAGGCAGTTTCTGAGAACTGGATCCAAATAAATGGAAGAAAAGAAATAAAAAAACAGATTTCATTTTTGGAGAAGGCTTTTTAAATTTGAAATTTCCTTCCATTAATATCTGTGGCACATTTCTTTTACATTCCAAGTACTATTGTAAAAACTTTGTTTTCTTTTTTCAAATACTGTAGTTGCTACTTCTTTACTAGGTATTGCTGTTGATTTTGCTCCGCTAGGTACTTATCTCCATTTCTTTAAGCCATTGAGTTAGCATCGTCCAAAGATGTTTCTGCAGAACGGAACATGGAATGTTGAAGTGGTACCTATTTATCTACTTACATTTCTCACTTAAGTGTTACCTATTTATCAACTTGCATTACATGCTTTTGAACTACTAGGTTGGCAGGAACTGAGGCAAGTGATGGGAGCTCACTCTGTCACACAGTGGTAAGGCTCGAACTGCTGGAGCATAGACTTCTCTAGCATCATTTAAGCCACTGAAGCACTGTGCCTTTTAGAACAAATTAGCAATTATTGCAAAAATCATTTCCATACATATACATAATCATTCAATAAGTATATTCCATTTATCAACATGAATACTTATTAAAGTTTTCCTGCCTATAAACTTACCTTACAACAATTATCACTTTTTGCTTATCCTGGGTTTAATATTAAAGTATAATGGCAATATTCTCCTGTCACAATAATTGAATTTATAGTTATCTTATTGGTTCTACTCTGCAAGCAACTCTAAAAGATTAATATAGGACACCTCTGAGAGTTGCACACCTACAAGATGTAACAAATCTGGAGAACACTGTGCCAGCCAACATGGCTATTTCTATGGACAACTT